CAAAACCCCGCCCCTTGGCGGATTTCATTGGTCAATTCAGTCACGCTGTCACCTGTCAAGAAAACTTCAGAAAAATCATGGATTTCGAACGCGATTAACAGTAGCAGTATAACAGTCATGTCATTATCTATCATCATGTGTTATCAGTGCTATCCTAAGGTTAAGGTTATGGCTTAGGGTAGCGTTAAGGGTTAGTATTTGTTTCAGTGTTGTGTAGGCATGCAAATCTGTGATTGACATGACCAATGAAATCTTTAGAATCGGCTGCGGGGCGGGGTTTGCGCTTAGTTGTCTGAGAGGAAAAGTCGTGCAATGCAGACTCTGCTCAATTTTTTTCTAGACTCCCGTTCTTCATTTGTCTGTCACTAATTTGCAGTTCGTGTTATGCTAACAGCAACATGTTCATAATGTTGCAGTTTTGTATTTTGTAAATAGGCCTATATATATCAGTTTGTGAATCCACAAATGACTCTCTTTGACCATAGTTACTGTCATTTCTAAATCAGTGGGTGAGATGATAATACATTATTACATTCATCATAAGTTTGCAGTTAAACTCTTCTGGACAGTGTGTCTCCAGAAGCAGGGTCGAAGCCATACAGTCTATGGTTGATGCCCCTGCATGGGGCTCCAGGAGCAAGTTCAGGCAACTTTTTAACAATCAACTAAATTGAGACAAATTTAGGCTATTTAATTCAATTTTTTTCTAGACTCCCGTTCTTCATTTGTCTGTCACTAATTTGCAGTTCGTGTTATGCTAACAGCAACATGTTCATAATGTTGCAGTTTTGTATTTTGTAAATAGGCCTATATATATCAGTTTGTGAATCCACAAATGACTCTCTTTGACCATAGTTACTGTCATTTCTAAATCAGTGGGTGAGATGATAATACATTATTACATTCATCATAAGTTTGCAGTTAAACTCTTCTGGACAGTGTGTCTCCAGAAGCAGGGTTGAAGCCATACAGTCTATGGTTGATACAGTCTATGGTTGATGCCCCTGCATGGGGCTCCTGGAGCAAGTTCAGGCAACTTTTTAACAATCAACTAAATTGAGACAAATTTAGGCTATTTAATCTTTGAGACTATGCTAATGCCCTGCAGCCAGCTGCAACAAAGCCCTTAAAAATACTCAGTGTTTATACCTGTACAATTACAGCTACAGTAAGCAGTTTCTTTACTTCAGGGGTTTGTTGCAACCCTGTTTACAGTGGTTTTAAATAATGATGTAAATATCTGCCTGGTTTCAAGACTATTGTTGTAAAAGAATCATAGAAAATCCAAGGAAGGAAACTGAAGGGACACTCCCTTTTCCTTACCTTTTGCAAATAACAGTGATCAGTTTAGAGGTAAGAATTAATAACTGGGCTACTTCACACAGTGCATTGATTAAATATACTGATCATAAAGAGCTGAGACAAAAGATTTAACAACTGTGACTTAAAAATAAGGAAAAGTGATCGTTCATAAAGGAGATAATAGCATTAGCAGTGCCACAATATCAATTTTTAAGAGTTATAACGTTCGAAGCTAGAGAAACCGTACAGGACAGTTTGGAATTGTAATATGAAATGCTTTTTTTTCTAAAACCCAGGCCACTGATTTATGGTAATCATCACTGTGACTTTACATGGTAAAGTCAGGTTTTTACCAAGTACATGGTAAAAAACAGGTTAAACCCCGTTACTCAATGAGTTAAAATAACTTGCAAAGGCCTGTTTCTGTATGAATGAGCAATTTCTGTAAGAGTTGCAGTGAATGAAACCATTATCTGAGCTTTCTCTTAAAAAGCAACATGGGAGGACTGAAACTAGAAAAAAAGTGTTAGGAAGTCACATTTTTTACAGCAGTTTTTTTTTCAAAGAGGCTTTTTGGATTTTGTTTTATAAGGAACACCACAGGCATTCAGTCTGTGCTACCCCTGGCTTTTGTTGAGATCACAATAGCAGGGACAGATTTATAAAACCATAAGCCATAAAGACCTGCATGTCCTATCCAAGCTGCTTATACAAATGGGGTCAACAGAAAATAATTTCTCAATAGAAAGAGACATTATAAAAATTCAGACACAGTGGCTGAACCAGACGTCTGAATTGTAAAGACTGGTAATTCAAATTCTCAAATGTTTTCAAAAATATTAAAATGTATACAACCAACATCAACAAATCATTACAACAAACATCAGGTAGGTGGAGCAGATATCTAAATAAATAAAAAAACAAACAAAAAAATTAAAATAAACCAAAATCAAGTAATTCCAGCTCTTTTAACATTCATTAACTTAATTGCATTATTTTTCTTCAAAAATCTCAACCAACTAAAAACAACTGTATAACAAAACAGGCTTCTAGCTTTGTGAATACAATTTCGATTTATTACACATGAAAACCCCAAATTACATTCTGATATTTCAACAAACATTTCAATCCACTCCACAACATCCTTTATAAAAAAGTAGCATATAAGGCTAAAATTATGTCAGTTACTTGCTATGAGTAAAGAGGAAGACTAAAAAGAATATTCCAATACAGTGCACGGGGGGCTGTAATTAAATTAAAAAAGACAAAACAATGAATTTTCCCAAACCCATTGCCTCTCCCTGAATCCGATTGGTAGAGACACGACGCCCCGCCCCTACACGCAGAGCTACAGGGAGTGACGCTTGTTTATATAATCTCAGATTTGGTTGCAGTTTTGGCTTGTCGACATAAGGAAGAAACAAATCAGGGCGAGTCAATTAATCCCGTTCAAGCATGTATATTAAGATGATTGTGTCGTTTTTGGCCGTGGCAAGCGCTGGGTTGACTGGAGCCCCTATGGATGCAGACATTAACGATGAAGGGGTTCAGAATGCGTTACAGTTCGCAGTGGCCCAGTACAACAGACAAAGCAACGATGCGTTTGTGCGTCAGGTTTCCGAGGTCATCAAGGTCCAAAAACAAGTGAGTAACTTAGTTTAAACGTTTATTCGGTTTGTAATCGGTGAAACTGGGAACGTCGCTGATTCGCACCCAGTGATAAAGTTCCTCCTTGAGCGCTGTCACGATGACATGAATAATGATGACGTCACCGGATTTTATTGACATAACGAGCCCGTTTAGAGCAAGACGGGGCGTAATCAGTATTACTGGCAGTCAAAGGGGTGTATACGTATAACAAACTGTTTAGATGTTTCTTAGTTTAAATAATTTATTTCTTAAAAATACGTTATTTTATGTACATTATAAGTATTTTTTTTAAATTAAGAGTCAAGTAGTGACTATTATCTTTTTCAATGTAACTAGTAACCCCATATGCCATAGAATTTAATGGCAAACCATTGAAATTTGTTAGTATAAATGAAATTAGAGTCTTGTCACTGTTGTTATAGTGACTAGTAGCAAACTAAATCGATACCTTGTGTTGGACTAAGTATGTAATCTTACTCTAATGAGTAGTTACTGGAGAAACTGATAAAGGTACTTAGGATAATGAAGAGACCAAAATTATGTTAAAACCGTAAATTCATGTAAAGATTTGTTCAAAATTCTGTGCAATCTCAAATCTCAGAACCATAAAATTGTTCCCAGTTGTTCAAAGAGAACAAACAGAATTGTTTGCCTCTACTTGAAAGCTATTATATTATATGCTACATAAGAAAATAATTATTTTATATAAGGTAAGAGAGTAAAGGATTGTTCAGATGTGATTTGCTAGACGTGTTCAATAAATATTGAAACTTAGAGAGAGAGAGAGAGAGAGAGAGAGAGAGAGCTTTCTCCAGCATGACTTTGTAACACAGTGGCTGCCTCTAACTTAAATAAATTATTTCTTTTAAGAAAAATTTTGGGCGCGAGACAGTTTTTTGTTTTTTTTTTAACTCAGGGTTGGCCCAACTATGTCTAAACATGTTTCTGGTTGACACTCCAGGTTGTCTCTGGCCTGAAATACATCTTCACTGTGAAAGTGGGCAGAACCAACTGCAGAAAGGGTGGAGTTGAGACCCTGTGCACCATTCATGAGGATCCCAGTGTTGCACAGGTAAGACACACTGTGTCTAATTTACAATATTGTGATTATCTGTTTACATTTCTTGAATTTCCATGTTAAAAGAGATTGACCATTTTTTATCTTTCCCTTCAAGGTCACTCAGTGCAAAATAACGGTCTGGAGCCAGCCATGGTTGAACAACATTAAAGTCCTTGAAAACACTTGCATGTAGAGTTTGTGACTAGTGCAGTTTGGGGCTTTTCAACATTCAAGCAGCAATAAAATGTACTTGCTGTTGGTAATAATGGTGAACTTTAAGTCTTTATTCTTGATAAAATAGAAATTTTATTTGTCCTGAAAACCTGTCAACAACAAGTCATGATGAAAGAATGCTTCATTAACACATAATCATGTAATCTCATTAGACTCCACTGCTCTGAAAAAAAGCTACAATTTGTAGGAATTTCTAAATGATAAAATGCATGTTTCTATATTAGTTCATCCTTTACTATTAAAACATGGTTGAACACAATATGTCTGTGTGCTGTGTTTATTTGGTTAAATTTATTATGGAAGTCATAATGACTTGGCGTTACAAATTCTAGAAAACACTGTGTTGGTGTAGGCCTGTGTATTATTTTATGTATGTATACATAAACATAAAGAAAACAATAATCCAACAGTAAAATTTATGTTATAATAACAGTATAATAAGAGCTACCAGAACTGATGTATTTGTTTGGAACAACTACAGCAGTCTTATTATTTTTCTTTCTGTCATTAAAATTGAAAAAAAAAAAATCATATTTCAATATTAATTACTAATGAAATGACAGACATTACAGCAATACAAAGCAAAGTATAAAGCAGTATTATTTTACTTTAAATTCATCAAAGCTTAGTTGGTACAGTTTGCAGTATTCAGATAAATTACCTAAAAACAGCAGAAGAAGGTTTCTGAAATTAAAACCGGGGACATTTTCTTGTTCAGTGGTCAAAATATAATTGAAACCTTACTTGTTATTATCTATGAATTAAAAAGTTGGGATAATACATTTTTGTATGTTTTTGTTTTTAATTGTTGTGGGTTCTACGTATTATGTTTCATGAAGTCATCAGCGTAGCTTGTAGCGCCCTCTGTTGGTGAAAATAAACGATTGCTCTGGTAACCAGCAGACTACGTTGATCGGGCTTTTTGCAGTGTATGTGCGGGGTCTTTTGAACGCGTAAAACGGGGACATTTCCGAAGACGTCTCGGGTTGGGAACAGGACTTCAAAAGCCGGGGCTTTCCCGGAAAAAAACTGGACGTCCCTAGGTTAAATATTATCCTACATATTTCACCAAGCTTCCGTCTTCTAAATCTGGTCTGGATAGGACATATATGCTCTCTTTCCCGGCAAAATATATTCACTCTACAGGTTTTACAGACTGGTTTTACTTTGAAACATGAAAATTTTAAATTCAGATGAGTTAAAAATAGCGGAGACCACTTTATATACACATCTGCCTAAATCCATAAAGGTGAGTAGTAGCCTGCGTTTGTTTAATTTCGAAGCAAACCCTGTAAGTTAGCGCTTGATGTGCTTTTAGAGACGCACTGAATCAAATACCTGTTGGTTTTTAGGTGTATGGATTTGTTTTCGCTATGAACAGAGGGAAACCACACCATTTGGAGGTATTGGTGGATACGTGGCCAGCTTTTACCAATATCATTGTTCGACCAGATCCAAATGTGAGATTATGTTCTTTATTAACTACTTATAAATGTTGTCCAAGTTAACCACTGTTATGTCAATATCACTAATGTTTGAAATCTTTAGAATGACCGTGCAAAGGACTTTATGAAGAAGGTGACTCTATACAGCACAGATGAAGAAGTCCTGAGAAGAATGTTGACTGTGGAAAATGCAATTGACTGGAGCACATACTTCCTAATAGGAGGTATGGCTTTTCCCCCAAAAAATGTATTATATATTATACTAGTAATATGACTTCTGGTTATGTTAATAACGTCTGATTATTTTGATTTCTAGGATGTGATCTTCGTCATTCACTAATGCTGAAGGAAATTGCTGCTTCTCGGGGTGTCAGTATGAAAGGGTTTTCCTTGGTGCACCTTATGACATTAACTGAGCCCAGTCATTTACCTGAGCTCATTACCAGGTAAGATGGTAACTCTTATTAAGCTTTTTAAATAAGTGATAAATATCCATTTGTGTTTGTACAATGTGATGCATTTAAATAAAAGCTTAAACATGCTTAAACTTTCCCTTATATTCTTGCTTCCTTCATCAGTGACCTTGAGTCCAGAGTGTCTGTCCTCAATGAGTCACATGCTGATGTAGTTAACAAGACTTGGAAATTTGGTGGGGATGACAAAGGTTACAGGAACATCCTGAATCTCATCAGACATTTCCCCACATGCTGCATTACAGATGAGAGCAACCAGCCTGTGTCCTGGGTGCTGTTGTATGATTACTGTGCCATGGGGATGTTGTACACTCAGCCAGAGCATCGTGGGAAGGGCTATGCCAAAGCCCTGGTCACCACAATGGCAAAGAGGCTCCATTCTCAGGGCTATCCTGTGTACTGTTTCATTGAAGAATGCAATCAGCTTTCCTACAAACTTTTTAAAAGCTTGGGTTTTACAGAGTACCTCTCTTACAGGGCTGCCTGGTATGAATTCATTTGTTAGCCTGAATACTCATCAATACTCCTGTTTGATGACATAAAAAACTCCTTGGAAGTCATCATGAAATCATGCTTGGGCACCGGCGTGAGGGCTAGACAAAAAGCCCTCAGTCGATTCCTGATGGACAAAAAAAAAAAGTCACGCCCAACATTTTTTTTCTTGTTTGTGAAGCTGTTTCACTCAGGTATGTATCGCAATAGAAAATAAAGGCGATCACAATTTATGTTTCATAATGACCTTAACTACATGATGATTTAGTTTTTGTAAATTCAAATAAAAAATTATATTGTATGCACAATTGTAACATTTTTAATACATTTTGATGAAGACATTGTGTTGTAGCGATAATTTAAAATGTTATATGAATGGGATCAGAGCATCAAACGTCAAACCATCAGCCTGTAAACTGAGAAACTGGAGAACAACTTTACACACATTTTATAATTTTATTTCCCATTCAGAGTTTTATTTTACCTGGAAATTATTTGTTTCTCAAAGGTATTTATATACCAGCCATAAGTAGGTGATATTTCAATGCTGTGAAATAATTCTCAATACTATCATGCTTGCACAGAAATACTAAATGTTGCCAAACTTTGTGTGGCTGCAGTACCATCTTAATACATCATTTTGTAGGGAAAATCCATATTTTTCTTTGTAAAGATTCTCTTTGCTAGGGCTACTCCGGGCCGGTTGCATAAACTGCTAAGACTATAGTCTTAAAAAGTTAGCCATATAAGTTGTTTTCTTCTAGACTGGTCATAACTGTTTAAAGTCAGTTACTAAAATGTAGATTGGCCCAATTTTAATCAAAAAAGTGAGACTGATTATCTCTTGGCTAACTGCTAGTTGGTCAAACTAGTTCTTAAGACACAGTCTTAACATAGTGGCTATGTTTTTGCAACTGGCCTCCGGTACACCTTACTCCACAGCTACCATTTTGTGGAGAAAGCCATATCTTTTTATAATTTATAGTTACATTTATTAAAATTGCTTTTATCTGCAGATTTACTTTGCCTTGCAAAAAAAGCCTTTTCTCATGCGCATCTCTCAATTACAGGTGTTTTAATAATATATATCTACTTTAAATAAATATTGTTTAAAAAAAAAAAAAAGGTTCCGGAAACGATTCTGCTTGGGGGCGCTATTCCAGACGTACAGAATGACATGCGTGGCATGAGGTCTTTTTTTTTTTTTTTACATGCAATAACCTGAAACTCCTGCCTGCCTACCTACGTAGTGGCTCTGTTCTATAAGTGCCTTTTAAATCACTGCTAGCATGCTAGCAACACAGTAGACCCGCTGACGCCGAGCGACACACGTGAGGAAAACAGGCTGCTGGCGGGACACCTCGCAATGCGTCAGCTGACTACAGAAGATCTGAAGGCCCTGGAAGTAGATCTTAAAAACTACTTTCCACAGTCGCTGCAGGTTTGAAAGCGTTTATTGAGCTAATAAAGTAGCTCGCCTTGCAATGGTCATGTTTGCTACCGTTAAAATTAATAGAATGCTTTACATGCTACTTAATTGTCAGTTATTTGTGACGCTAATGTAGGCAAAACATTTAATTTTGTCTCGCTTTTTTCTGTCCTGGAAATATACAGGTATATGGATGCATTGTCCAACTCAACAGAAATGGACAGAGAGCTGATCCTGTTAGTGTGCTTGCTGACCAGTGGCCAGAGTTCAGGGTTCTACTTATTAAACTTGAATTCCGTGAGGTATCAGGAATATTGCGAAATATAAGTGCTTGGGTGAATGTTTCACTGTTGATTTATGAGAGGTTCAACAATCCATTTATTTATTTATTTTTACAGAAGGGAGACCTTTTCAAAGACATGACTGTGTTTTCAAAAAACGATGTCTACCTCAGAGACCTGCTGGCACATTCAGATGTCATTGATTGGAAGATGTTTATTTGCTTGGGTACTTGCATCTCTCTTTTGTTATTTTTATTTTTTTTTCATTAGTGTGAATCCCTGAAAATTCTGTTCCTTTGTAAACTGTCTCAAGCCGCTGAGCTTCATCATGAGAAGATGCTGGAATTTGTGGCTATAAACAGAGGTGTACCTATGAAGAAAGAAGCTGTGTGTTACATGTTGGTTCTTCGAGATCCATCAAAACTTTCACACGTTGATAGGTGAAGTATATCAACTGTAATCATTAACGTCACACTTCAGACATACAATTTTATGACAGGTCATAGTTTAAGCCAAGCTACATTGCAGTAATATGTCGCTGACTATAAGCACTGAAACATGTAACCTAGTAATTGCTGTTCAGTTGTCATCATTGTATTTACCTTTTAACCCTCTGGTGGTCTTTTTATGTGTTTTACATTTAGAATTTTTTCTTGCTGTATGAACAAACAATAACGGACATATTTACATAGTTGTAAATGGTCTTAAAAATATATTGTCATCATTGTATTTACCTTTTAACCCTCTGGTGGTCTTTTTATGTGTTTTACATTTAGAATTTTTTGTGCTGCTTGCTGTATGAACAAACAATAACGGACATATTTACATAGTTGTAAATGGTCTTAAAAATATATATTTTTTTTGAGGTACAGTACAGTCTACAAAAAAGCCACGATAAAGTAGTCTTTGATAATGCAAATAAAATTAATATAAAATTACATCTGAAAATACTCTCATAAGCAACCAGAGAATACTTTAATATTTGTAGTATTTCATGTAGAATTTTTGCATAATTTAGAGGTGAATATTGTCTAGTACCATGAAATCTCAAAATACTAAATATTTAAGAAAATATAGTACATTCATTTCATAAAAAAAAGTTATGCTTATTGTATTCGTTCTGTTTTGACTTTTTTTCTTTTTACCCACAGTTCATTACTGAAGCTGTCTTCTCTCAATGAGTCTCATCTTGCACTAGTCAACCGTAGCTGGAAGTTTGGCTGTGAAGACAGCAAACAAATGATTAAGAATATGATTTTGAACTTCCCCTCTTGTTGCGTCCTGGATTCAGATGATCAACCAGTAGCATGGATATTAAATTATGCTTCCAGTGCACTGGGAATGCTGTACACACTTCCAGAACACAGAGGAAAGGGCTTTGCAAAAGCATTGGTCGCCGTTATGTCAAAAACACTCCACTCTCAGGGTTATCCGGTGTACTGTTTTATAGAGGAAGAGAACCATTTATCCTACAGCCTCTTCACAAGCCTGGGCTTCACAGAAGAACCAGATTATAGGGCAGCCTGGTTTGTCTTTAATGATTTGTAACTGGGTCCCATCAGAGCAGCCAATCACAATTGTTTAGCTTCTGTCCGAGATGCTATGTAGGATTATGTAATAGCTATTTTTTATTTATTTATTTTTTTACTTCTAACAAGGCCCCCATCAAAAAAAAAAAGTTATTTATATTATGAATAACTCATTCTATAAATAAAATGCGTAAAACATAACTGTTTATTCTTATCATCAAATGTAAAACATATACAGTTGAATTACACATTGTGTAGAATCAGTTAGATTTGTTATACTAGTTAAAGGTATTTTATTTTTCTGCATATTCTTCTAGTCGAAATAGCCATTTCTCCCAGAATGGCATAATCTGCTCTGAGTTCAGGAAGTGAGTATGTGCGGGTGATCCATCTTTGTAGGCCACCACAATTAAGCCGTTTTCTACCTGTACATAAATGACATTAGATGGAAGACTTCAATGGAAAATACATATATGCATTTAGCAGATGCTTTTATCCAAAGCAACTTACAAAAGAGGAACAAAAACACTTTGTCTAGGAGCCAACAATATTCGTTATATACAATGCCATGTTCATCACAGACAAAAATGTATCCACCAGATATTAACGTGACCACTTATGAACAGGTTTTGAGGACAGCCATTTCATGACTACATATATTACCATTCAAAAGTTTGGGTCGGTAAGATTTTAAAATACAGCAAAACAGTAATAGTGTCAAATATTACAATTTAAAAGAACTATATTGTAATATAATTTTGAAATGTAATTTATTTTTGTAATAGTAATGCTGAAATTTCAGCAGACATTACTTCGGTCTTCAGTGTCACATGATCCTTCTGAAATCATCCTGATATACTGATTTGGTGCTCAAGAAACATTTCTTATTATTATCAATATTGAAAACAGTTGTGCTGCTTCATATTTCTGTGGAAACTGTGATGGATTTTTTTTCAAGATTCTTTGATGAACCTGATGTTCAAAAAGACTTAATAAATCTTTTGTAACATAAATGTATTTACTGTCATATTTGATCAATTTAATGCATACTTGCTGAATAAAAGTATTCATTTAATTTTGCGGACCCTAAACATTTGTACAGTAGATTATGTATACTTCAGATCTTAATACCAGGTGTAAAAGGTGTCATAGTGCTGTTTACCTGGTAGTTGTAGTTGTGGTCACTGTTCAAAGCTCCAATGTATGCAGCTACTTGTAATGGATTATCATAAGTATGGCGAAGGGAGGGCTTAGGCTTCTCTGAGGTCTTCCAGTCAATGACACACAATGAACCTCTGTATGAAAGCAGATAAGACTTAAAATTCAACATAAGCAACATATACATTCATCTACATTAAAAAAGTGCATGTTGTGTAATGATTATAAATTCTTATACATATGACTCTTTGATTTAACAAAATGTATCTCACCTGTATTGGGCAACGCAATCTACAATACCAAGGTACCGTAACGCAGAATGATTCACAGCACTCTCAATAGCTCTCACTCCTGTTATATCATTCAACACATTAGATACACTCTCTATATGCCCAGACACCTCTGCTGGACACTCATGGTCCTCCTTAGAAGGGGTTTCCTGGGTGAAAGTGTCCTCAATGGCAGCATGGAACAGCTTTCCTTGTCTGAAAATGTCTAAAACAACACAGATGAATTAGAAGGTGTAATTCTTTTAAAAAGCAATAATCAAAGAAAATTGATTATTCTTACTCAAGCTGTATTCTTGAAACCCTTCCTCTCCGAGTTCAGCAATCATCCTTCTCTTCCACCTTTCCAGGTAAAAGGCTTGGTCAGGTGGCATGGTCTTCTGGAGGATCCGGGTCACACTGGGTATAGATGTTTTATTAGAGTCCCTCTGTAATTTTATACGAGCCAAAGGTCCCGGCACATACTCCGACTGACCTTTGGCCTCATTTAACAGTGGATGCAGGTTTTTAGGTACTTTGGGCTGTTTTGAAGGCGGTCTGGATCTTAATACAGGTCCGTACAGCTGACAGTCCTCATCCTCGATGCTTTCAGGAGTCTGGGAGCTGGTTTTTGATGACAACACCTCTCGCACCAGAGATGAGTACCGCTCTGTGTCCACTGTGCTGTACTGACTGACCTTTTTGCTTGCTCTCCATTGACAGCCGGTTGAAAAGTTGTCCACACGCGTGAACTGACCAGAGGGAAAGCCCATTGATCTCACACACTTGCATTGTACCAACAGCTTCAATACTTGCATTGTAATCGCCATACGTGATGTTCTTATCCTGTTTCTGTGGTTATTGTTGCGGCTATCTGCGCATGCTTTGAGAAACGGACAGATAAACTAAAATAAATGAACCAAAAAGTTTTAGAGTGGGCAAGCGATCATGAGGTTGTTGCATTCCGGTGTTCCGGTGAATTCAGTTCCCCTGTTTCCCCCTCACAGCGCATGCGCAGCTTCAGTACGAAAATCGTGACGTCATGATTTCGCCCCGGCGAAGCGAGTTTTAGTGGTTTTGCTGTCTTTTCGCAAGCACAAGGTTAATTTCACCATGTTCATTAGATAGCTAATTTGTAATTAAATACATGTATGTACGTAACGTCTTGTTCAATCGCTATAGAGTCAGATTCTACAAATTATCTAATTAACATGGTGAAATGAACATTGCTTGCAGAAAGACAGCAAAACCACCATAAGCTGACTTGCTTAGCCGGGGCGAAATCATGACGTCATGATTTTAGTACTGAAGTTTCAGGGTTGCCAGGATATATATAAAAAAAGCCCAATTGCTACTAAAAACTACCGCCGGAAAACCGCGGACTTGGCAACACTGCGAAGTTGCGCAGGCGCTGTGAGGGGGAAACAGGGCAACTGAATTCACCGGAACACCGGTTTCAAGTGGAGCGCAATTTGAACTGGATCTACTTGGGAATTATGGGAATTGTAGTTCGAACTGCCTCGAAAGTACGTTTAACACGTTACCATAAAACACCATTTCCCACAATGCAACTTTTTGGTATAGGCTTTGAAAATAGTCTTTGATTTTTGTTGATAGCCAACGCATAAGTTATATGTATGTATATAGGCTCACATTTCCAAATAAAACAATTGTATTGAAATCACTCGAAGCTCAAGACATTACTACCATCTGGTGGTCAAAACTCTAAGCAGCGGTACACAATAGCTTGTCAAACATCATAACATATTGTTCATATAGTCATTAAGTACTTTTACATGTCTGTAAATTGGGTATGCAATAAGCTCTCTCTCTCTCTTTCTCTTCACGGGGTTTTGTCGAAATTAAACGAATGAACGTTTTTTTAAAGACTTTTATTTTGACGTGCTGCCAGAAAAATATTCGAGCCGGATGTCCACACAGTGACAGGCGAAAGTGGAGAGTGAAGAGCAGCGAGCTACAGTTAAAAAGTTAAAAGTACAGTTTAATGTACAACCCAGAGACGATAAAATAAGCGAAAGATTTCCTGAACATGACATCTATCTCAGAGGACAGTGATAAGGAGAAGGTAAGTGTTGTCATATCTCTCTACTGTAAAGATAAAGCTTATTAACTTATGTTTTAAGCAGTCATCTTGCTCGCTTGCTTACTAACCGCCCAGCTCTGCTTTGCACTTTATAGTGAGTGATTGTACGCTCGTCACTCTCACTGATAGAGTTAACTCTTTACTAGCTGTTCCTTAATAATAACAACTAAACAGGTTTAAAATTGTCTTCGTGACATATCTATCTATCTATCTATCTATCTATCTATCTATCTATCTATCTATCTATCTGTCTGTCTGTCTGTCTAACAATAATTATATTGTTTTAGTTGTCAGTGCAATTATACTGTAGTGATGAAGGCAAATACGTTAGTTTTATTGGTTTTGTAGTTGTATTGTATTTGCTGTAGTCTGTTTTCTGTAGAAATTATTTGTGTAAATTTCTCTGCTTTTTCTGAACTCTTTTCCAAACTACAGTTACGGTTTGTGGGATAGGATAGGTGACTAAATAAGTTTTCTTTACTTACATGTTTTTTTAATTGAGCTCATGAACCTGAGTTCATAAGCATAGACTGTGGAATAAAATATTTTTGCAAGTTTTCCCCCCAAAACTGTTCAAACGACAGACTCTATGTGACATGATACCTTTAGTTCTCAGTCCTTGTTTGAATGTGTCTTCCTGCTTTGTCACAAGATGATTAATTTTTTTAACAAATCATGTTTTATATAGGTGCACTCTGTATCAGTCGACTTGAACAATGATTCATCTCTCGTCATTGATATCCCTGATGCCCTCTGTGAACGTGACAAAGTCAAATTTACCGTCCACACCAAGGTGAGCCAACAGATCAAATTTATAGTCATTCGAATAAGTCAGTAGCTTGCACGCATTCATGTATATCTTAGTGTAACTTACCTTGATCTGTAGTATTGGAGGACAGTACGTCTTTGACTCGTAGTGTCGATTTGCTCTTCACTTCCTCTCAGACCACACTTAGTTCCTTTCAGAAGCCGGAATATTCTGTGCAACGACAGCATGAAGATTTCATCTGGCTTCATGACACAATTGTGGAGACTGAGGAATATGCTGGCCTCATTGTAAGTTAAAACCCATATTCATATTGTCTATATTTATGAAAGCTCCTCATCAGCAACAGGCATTCTGTCGGCCAACATGAAAACCACAAAGTTTCTCTACTGACCTTCAGTCTGCATTGTAGACTGTTGGAATAGCCAAAAAGTCTTATATTGAATGAAATTGTCTTGCTTTTACAATATTTCTTAGATCCCTCCTGCTCCACCAAAACCTGACTTTGAGGGTCCCCGGGAGAAGATGCATAAATTGGGAGAGGGGGAATCGAGCATGACAAAGGAGGAATATGCCAAAATGAAGCAGGAACTTGAAGCGTGAGCTTAATATAATATATATATATATCAGTGGCGAGCGGTGACTTTTTTTTTAAACTGGGGATACTGAGTGATAAGATTAAGACCCCCCTCCCCATCGGTTTTTAGAACACACTTAAAGAGGGATCACAGATAACAAACAAGAAACACAGTGGCAGGTGTCGATTTAAAAGTATGCACATTTCCTACCTTATTTGTAAATGAAATTCATCTCCAATCATTGTTCTATCGTTTCAAGTTTATCCATTATTCGAATGCAAGAATAATGGGGGGGGGGTATTCCCTTGGTCTATATGTCTCTGCATCTGCTAAATTATTTTTTATTCCCAGTGAATAGGAGTTAAATCTCCCACACGGGTGACACTACTCCAATAACAGACCATGCAAAATACCAAAAAATATTTAAAATATTGCAAAGTAACGTTGCAACCTTGCAAACAATAATAAAATCAGA